GAAACTTCCAATGGCATGCTCCCACACTTCTGTAGGTCTTTGTTCAAATATCAGTTCATCCAACAATGGCAAGTAATGTATGAAATGTTTTTTGTACCCTAAGACTTTTAAGTGCATTTTGTTCCTCGATAACCTGTAGTTGAATGTGTTAAGTGAAACAATACTTGCATTTCCCCTACCTTTTATCAGCCGCTCTGTGAACTGAAGCTGATAGTCTGAGCTGGTTGTGTGCTTTGCAGGAGTGCATGGAAGCAGAGTTCACCAGTGAGCTCAGGTATCTCTAAGAAGTTGTTTTTTTCTTTCTTTTTTTTATGGGGGGGGGGAGTTTTTGCTATAGGGCGCATACACTCGCCAGAAAGACAGAGAGAGACAGAGAGACAGAAAGCGAGAAATTCACCCCCCAGAGGGGGGTGAATTTCTCTTGCGATTTTGGGCACGCATGTACATGTACCTAGTGTGTTTTTCAAGCTGCTGGGTCTGGGACTCAAACTGCTCAGTTGGCCATGTGGAATCCAGGTACCTTAACACCTAAAGGCCATCTACTATACATGGGAGTCCAGCGATATAGCCGTTACACCAACTCTTGGCTCCAACACTCAATAAATTTCTGCCGAATCAATCAATGAAAGCTGCTCTGCCAATTTTAATAACAGTAGCTGTTTTATTCTTTTATTACCTTACAGATCGATCTTATGTCAGTCTAAGATGATTATTTTGTAAAATAGTATACAAGACCTAACTGTGTCCAACTGTATATATCAACCAATTAGTTTCCTTATACTGTAGTTTGGAAAATGAGATTGTAAGTAAATCAGACTATAAACTTTTTTTTTTTTAAAGTTTGCTGTAGGGCACATGTGCTTGCAAGAGAGATGTGGAGGAGAGTGAGAAATCACCCCTAGGGGGGATGAATTCACCCCCCAGAGGGGGGTGAATTTCTCTTGCGATTTTGGGCACGCATGTACATGTACCTAGTGTGTTTTTCAAGCTGCTGGGTCTGGGACTCAAACTGCTCAGTTGGCCATGTGGGATCCAGGTACCTTAACACCTAAAGGCCATCTACTAGCCCCAGAAAGAGAAAGAGAAACGAAGTGAGAAATCACCACCCCAGGGGCGATGGCCACGCTGCAGTCCCTTCTCCTCCAATCTCCTCTTGGGATCTTGGGCACGCATGCACATGCACCCGGCATGAGTTTAAGCCACTGGGTCCGGGACTTGAACTGCAGTCAACTACATGGGAGTCCAGCAATATAGCCATTACGCCATCTGCTAGTTCTGCTAAAGTAAAATATTAAATAAAGTGTACTAAATAAGCAGAAGCAGTCATGCTGCATTTTTAATTTAATCAATCCTTGCCTGGTGGAAAATACTTGTTCCTCCCTTAGTTTAAAGCAGATCGTTTGTGTAGTTGCGTCTCATACACGTAAGGTGGCTTTACCCCAGGTTTGCCTGAAGCAGTGCCAGTTTACTTTCTTCTCTGCAGTTATTAATAACGTCCCCTTTCTCACGTTTCAGAGTGACCTGGCTTTGACAGAAACTGTATGGTTATCCTGAATGTTAGCAGATGTGCTTGTACATCTGTGCCCGTGTGTGTATTCTTCCCCGCATTACTAGGCAGATTTGAAGAGTTGGCGTTGTTGACTCCTCTAGGAGTTCAACCAAAGTCCCATAGAAATACTGTGCGTGTGTATGTGTTACTGTGTAAATAATACATGCTTCTTTTCTTAAATACTTTATACAAAATAAAAAGTCATCGCTTTTCCCATTTGTAGTCCTAAGAGTTGACCACAGGTAAGAGTTTCATATGTAACCCTCTAGATTATTTTATATACAGATTTTTTTTTTTGGTGTTGATATGGATAATTTCTTAATGCATCTTGAGTTATTATACCGACCATATCTAAGTATTTCTTGAACTCCTTTGGGTCCATTTTAACTAACTTCAGAACATTGCACAGAATTCTTTATTTTGTTCTCTTTGTCATTCTCTCATATTTAGTTCTAAGGCTTTGGGTTATTTTGCTTCATTTTTCTTTGTCTCTTCCCTAGGGTATATAGCTAATACCACTATTCCTTGTTTTTCTCATTCTAGTCTCTCAGTTATCTTAAAAATAAAATCCTCAGTAGAAGTGACTTGAAATTCCTGTCTCCAAATCAATTTCTTCAATTATATTGAGTCATTGGAAAAGTCATAATGTATTTTTTCCATGCAAAAATGTATCATGACTTTTCCAAAGACCTAATAGCTGGAAAAAAGCAAACCTACCAGAATTTTTAAGAAGGGAATCTCATGGATGAGGGTGGGTTTCTATACCATTAAAAGGGTAAATAGATTGTGTGTGTGTGTGTGTGTGTGTGTGTGTGTGTGTGTGTTTTATATGAAGGTGAAAGATCTAGTAGATTTTTTACCTAACATGATATGTAATTAGTCTCATCTTCGCTTGTATTGATGGAAAGAGATTTATAGGAATCAGTCCCCCAAGATTGCTACAGAAATGTTTGAGAACAGCTTGTTACCTTGTAGGTCTCCTGGCTGTCTCCTCCAGGCTGACCGTGCTTAACATTCATAATTTCCATTTCCTTGCTGTTATTGAATGACTAAGTTCACTATTAAACAAGTGTAGGATGGGTAAGGAATGGCTTAGTAGTGCATGTGGCTATGTTACCGGGATTTTAGCTGCTTTTCAGCTCAATGTGAGTCATCAAATTGATGTGACTATAAACAAAAGGCTCCATTAATAGACACTTGTTTAGAATGAAGTGGGATGGCAATTCCTCTCTTTTCTTTGTCAGTTATTAATGTCTCACAGTGCGAATATTATGCTCAGTTCGTAGTGTTGCACTTAAAAAGAGAGACATGGACCGATAAGCTCATTCAGTGGAATGGGTCTAGGATAATGAGGGGGAAAAAATCAGTGTCCTTGTAGGGATGTTCGAAGGTACTAGGACTTTCAAGAGAAAATTTAGAGCAGACTAGGAAAACTGTCTTTAAGTATATATTTTGTCTTTTATAAAAGAGAGAGGAAGACAGGTGTAGCTACTTTTTTAAAAAAAGAATTATTTATTTAAATGTATTTATTATTATTTTTTCAGTGTTGCTTTCGGGCATGTATGCTCACTGGAGAAATAACAGAGGGAGAGGGAAAATGAAAAAGCAAGCTGCCAAGATCGGGACTCAAACCGGAGTCAGCCATATGGGAGTCTAGCACCTTAACCACCATGCCACCTGCTGGCTCCAAGTTATAGCTGTTTAAAAATATAGCAGGGTCTCGCTATGTCACAGTCCTCCTGCCCCAGCCTCCCAATTACAGTCGCACATAATCGTGCCAGGCACGTTTACGTTGGTCTGTGTTTAGGCTGGTCCAGGAACTCAACCTGCCTCTCCCATGTAGCTTCTAACCTAATGAGTGGTACTGTCTATATCACTGCCAGTGGGCTTTC